GGACCCGGTGGCTTAAAATTCACGCCGGGCACGTGTGCATGTGTGCCCAAGATCCCAAGAGGAGAATGGAGAAGGGATTGTGGCGTGATCATCCCCCCTGGGGGTGATTTCTCTCTTTCTGTCTGTCTGTCTCTCTCTGTCTGTCTGGCGAGCACATGTGCTCTATGGCAAAAACCTCTCCAAAAAAAGAAAAAAAATATTAAGGTTATTTCATGATGAGGAAAGTCCTTATGAGCTATATTAAGTGAAAAAAATAGGTGATAAAGCTCTAAGATGTATTATTGCCAACCCAGTAATACGAGGTCTACTTTATAAATATAATGAGTAATTTTTAAAAGATTGAAAAGACATATATTCATTAAGGAAAAAGATTACCTCTAAAATAACTTAATTTCTTCTCTGTACATTTCTGTATTTTTTCAAAGACTTGCACAGAAAATCCCCTTCATTACTTAATGAAAACAACACAATTCTATCTATAATCCTGCAGATCCCAGTGTCATGGGATATCTTTCAATGTCTGGAAATGCTCCTTTATATCAAACATATAAAATTCTTGCTAAGTCATAAACAGCTACATAAAATGAGTTACGTGCCATTGGCCTCACTTTGTTAGCTTTTCAGTTCCTGGAGTACTGGGAATGAACTCTTTTAATACTTTGTAATGTACTCTAACACTTGTGGTTAATGAATATTAAGCCATTTATCCAATCAGAAGCAGAAGGAAAAATTATGTTCATTAATATTATTAAAAAAATAACAGCTCCTTAAATGATTTTTCCACTCGAAATAAACCCTCATATTGAGTTCTTACAACTATAGAAATATAATTGGAACAGCTTGGGCAGTTTCAGTTTCATTTTGTCTCTCTTCTTTTCTCTATTTTTTTTTTTTTTGCTATGGGCATGAACATTCACCAGAGGGAGAAAGACATATAGATAAACAGAGAGGAAAAGTGAGAAGTCATCCTCCAAGGCTGATAATCATTTGGCTAGCCATTCTCTTCCATTTTCTTCTTAGGCTTTTCTTCTTAGGCTTTTAGTAAAACCCAGTCACCCTGAGCGATTTTCAAGTTGCCAGGTCTGTGGCTAGAACTATGCAGTCAGCAATGTGGGAGTGAGACAAAAAGAAAGCTAGCAAATGGAAGTATGGGGGCTGGAACATTACCTATATGACTGGATAAGAAAAACTGAACAGGGTAGAGATTCCCCTCCCAAGGTAATGTAGTCAGGAGATTCCCAGTGGAGGAGGTCTAGCTGATTAAGCCAATGAGATGAATCGATGGGCCCAGTCAATGGACAATTGACATGACCTAGATTTAAAAAGTGTAAATATCATGGAATGTAACTCCCTTGAACCACTCTTTCTCTGCTCTGGCTGCTCTTACCTCTTAGGAGTGTACTTTCGCTTTTACTTAATAAACTATCCTCTGCTTTTGCTCTTGGTGTATTTTATTCAATTCTTTGTATGAAACACCAAGAATCTGGATATCACTGAAACTATTCTGCAACAGGATCCACCCACCTTAACTACCACATCACAGGCTGGTCTCATCCTTTTCTATATTACAAAGAATGGCCCTGTTGGATTGTGGGGGTTGGGTGGGTCTAGTGATATTAAACAAACAAACAAACAAACAAAAAAACCCAGTAACAACAAAAAACAACCCATTGGGATTCTTCAACAGGAATAAGAAATGAGGATCTTCAGCTGAAAGTTTTAGGAAAGTAGGGACCAACCTGGAAGTCCATGTCTGGCCTCTCCTGATGCCCAATCTCTGCCAAATCCAAGATTCGTAGAATGACTTTGTCAGTGTCTCATTTGTACCTTAACTTTCAATGCCTTCTTATCTCCATAAAACAAAAAATCCAGGGATTAGCAGTTAGCATAATGGCTATGTTGCTGAACTCCCATATAGCAGACTGCGGTCTGAGTCTCGGACCTGGTGGCTTAAACTCACGCCAGGTGCGTGTGTGTGCGTGCCCAAGATCCCAAGAGGAGAATAGAGGAGAAGGGATTGCAGCATGACCATCCCCCCTGGGGGGTGATTTCTCACTTTCTCTCTCTCTCTGTCTGTCTTTCTGGCAAGCACACATGCCCTATAGCAAAAACCTCAGAAAAAAAAAAGAAAAGAAAAAATAACAACTATTATTTGTTGAGTGTTTAGAGTGTAACAGTCATTGTGCTGAGCTCTTTATTGGCATTTTATTTGCTTAAGGATCCTCAAGGTAAGTACTATCACTATTACTGTCATTCAGAAACAGGCTAAATAGTTTCTGAATAACAAAACAAGCTTAGAAAGGTTAAGTAACTTGCAAAGGGCATGGAACCCTTAAACTGTTGGACCTGGGATTTGATTCTGGAGGTCTGAGTCTGTAAGGACTTTTTTTTTTAGATCGATTTCATTTAACTTTGTTTAAACTTTATTTATTATTATTACTTTCCAGTTTTGATCAGAGAGAGAAAGAGAGAAAGGGAAAGTGAGAAAGCAAGCCACCAGGTCCAGGACTTGAACCGCAGTCACCCATGTGGGAGTCCAGCACCTTTAACCACCATGCCACCTGCCGGCTCCTTGACCTCAATATTGTATCTCTTCTTCATCTTCTCCTTTTGCTATACCATATGTATTTCCCTGTCATTTTCCGGTTGAGCTGTTTATATTCATGAATGCTTTGATTGACTCTCCCTATTTTAATCTTCCTCATATTTTTTAGTTAAAAGCTGTTCTCTGCAGATTCAGGCCACCACAGAAATCTCTCCTTCATCTCAACTCCTATGGGACTCGGAAGTGTTCTTTGGGCTGCTGGAATTTACTGCCTCATATTGTCAATATCATTCTATATGGATTTAGCTCTTCAAGTGGATCAGGAGCTCCTTGAGTCACATTCCAGGAGCGCCTCTGGAACCAGGAAGGCCTAGACTGAGAGACCTTAGAAGAACCATTTTACTCTTTAAACTTGAGTGTCTTTTGATAAGAAATAAGGTTGGCCTGTGGTTGCAGTTCCAATGGTGCATCCAGAACACCGGGCTCCTGGACTGATAGGGAAGTGTGAGGTCTGGTTCCCAGGTTGACTGGAACGTGCTGGGCACATCATACACTGGTGATCTTGGCTGCCCGGGAAGGCTGAAGTGAAGACCGCAGTGTGAGACCCTGTTGAGGGTGCTTGTATCTCTTTCTCATGAAAGAAAGAAACTTGCACAAAAACCACAGAGGAAGAAAGGAAAGGAAAAAAAAGAAGTGCTAGCCTGTAAGAATGCTGTAAGTACTAAATAGGACGTCTATAAGTAAGGCTGTCAGCAAAGCACAAAGTACCAGTAAAAAAATATTTCTTTTTCCCCCCAAAAATATTTGCTTCCTTGTCAGTGGCTGCCAAGTTTGTCACTTCTTTGGATTTGAACAGAGCTCTGGATATATGCAGAACCTTCTAAAGGTTCACAGAAAATGCATATTATGAAAAACTATGGGGACCAGCAGTTAGTGTAATGGCTATGTCACTGGCCTCCCACGTAGTCGACCACGGTTCGGGTCCCGGAACTGGTGGCTTAAAACTCATGCTGGGCACGTGTGCATGCATGCCCAAGATCCCAAGAGGAGAATGGAGGAGAAGGCATTACAGTGTGGCCATCCCCTCAGGGGGTGATTTCTCGCTTTCTGTCTCTCTGTCTCTCTCTGTCTGGCGAGTGCACACGCCCTATAGCAAAAAGCTCTTAAAAAAAAAAACAAACAACTATGCATAAATTTCAAAATTGTTATGCCCTGTTAAAGTATATTACCTGTGCTCCTGCTTTAGTTCTCATATGCAAGTCACAACCTGGCACGGAAGTCTGTTTCCTTAGTAAGTTGCTAAGTTACAGCCAATCACAGCAGCTACACTTCCGTCAATCGCAGACAGCCCGCTCTTTACACTGTTCATGCAGGCAAACATCAAGTGGTAACCAGTCTAATTATTTCTCTACCTCATTCCCTCACTTTCAATTTTTTTGTAGGTCACTTTCTCTCTTGGGCATAAATGTTGCCCCATTACATGGCTATTCGGAGACCCTTAGAAGCCATTCTGTGGCTGCCCAATTAGATTAGATTTTACTCAATTAAACACTGCTAAATTAAACTGTCAGAAGTCTTTAACAGCACCAGTATAAACTTGTACTTTAATTCCATTACTCTATGAACCTTTAAAATCCCCTCATAGTAGATTCAATGAACTGTGGATGATTTTCATCTTGAGGAAGTTTGTTTACTTCCTGGAAACAACCGTCTCTATACTAAGTTACCATGTTGATGAACACATTACTTTCAGATTTATAAAATAATCCAGGAATAACTCCAGACAGTTATAAAATTAAGTCCTATTCCTAAGTAATGTTTAATAAGTAATGTGGAAATGGGTATTAAAAATAAGTCATTAAATCTGTCTGGTAGGGAACAGGTAATAAGATCATTGGCAAGTTTACCAGGTTCTTAGGCTAATGGCTCTGAGAATGAAAGTCAACAAACCATTAAAAACCCACTGGTGGATGCTGTCTGGAATACTTCTGGGTAAAGCACTAAAAGAGAAGTGCATTTGGAGAGAAATCTTCTCCCTTTATTTCATCTATAGAAACTACATTTTTGTTTTGGTATGTTTTATGTACTAGTCCTCAAACAGAATACAAATCTTGGGGAACCAAGACTCAAATAAGTGAGAGGAAAATGCTCAAGATGCCCAACTTCACAAATTCTAATTAGTGGATGAAGGCTGTGTAGATCCACTAATGGAACTGCAGCAACTAGAATCTGAATGAGATTAGGTCGGCGCACAAGCTTCTGCTCACGTAGTCCCTACCACTCCCTATTGCTTTACAATTGCTGGTTGCCTTTAGAGACTAAAGGCTGAGTTTCCCATTCCTGAATTAACACAGCAATTTGGTTTCACTAGAACCCAAATGCAGTTTCTAAGATGTGCCTGGGGATTAAACAAACTCCCCGTTCTGGGTAAGAGTATCCCTGCTTCTTTTCATACCTTGTTTAACTAGTTCTTTAACTCTCCCTGGAGTTCCTACACCCAGGTGCACCACACGCTTGTCCAGCAACTTTACTTGTTCTTGGACCTATTCCAAGATGGGAAAAAGAAAGAAAAGGAAGAATCGTTAAGAAAATGAGTCATAGGCCAATTTAGAGCATTTTACTTCAAAGTTAAGAAAGTAAAAGAAAAAAAAAATCAAATGGGACTACCTTATTTAAGGTCAACTTCTGGGGCAAAGATGGGTATCTCCCAAGAAAACCAGTGAAACCTCAAATAATCCAAAGCTTTATCCTCAGCTTAACAATTACTTGGGGGAATAGGGTAGGTAGTATGTGGAGAGGCATGAAATGCAAAGGAAGCCAAAATGGTTGTTAAATGTCTTATAAGGAAGGCACCAAAGAAAACGCTTGCTAAGGAGATTTTTAAAAGATGTTAAAGAGCAAACAGATGAGGTCTGGGAATGCCATCCGGGATCACTTATACCTCCCATCAGGAACTACAAGCCTTTGCTTACCTTTATATGTTTTGCAAATAATTTCATAACTTTGCTGTCTCCTCTAAATGCGGTCATCGACCTAATGAAAAAGGATAGATTAATGCTTAAGAAAACGAATTCCAGGCTGTGTTGACAACTTAAGTATTATGTCTTATTTATTCAAAGAACTGTGCAAACATATTTGTATCATATGTGTACATAAGTATGTATATAGATATTATAGTTATTTATTTATTTTTTGTGTATATATCTATATCTGTATCTATGTATCTATAAATACATTCTGAGATTTTCAGGTTAGCCCACCTCTGAAGAGCAAATGGGGCATATATTCAGACACAAATCTGGTTGGCTTCTTATACACAAGGTTTATCTTACTTAGGCTTCTTTGATCATTGAAACAGATAGATCTGCCCAACACTTGTAATATAGAATTTTGGCATTTCGGGTCCCTGGAAAAGAACTGATCTTCCAACTGGCAGCACAGTTCTCATACAAAATTTGTTTTTAAGAGGTATCTTAGAGTGGTGATGGCAACCTGTGCTTGGCAGAGCCCAGAGGTGTGTGTTGGCAACCATGAGGGGGAGCTGCAGATGAGCCTGACAGGGAAGCGGAAGGCTTCCAGCTTCTATCAGAGTAGAACCACTTTTGTTGACTTTGTAGACTGAGCTTTGCTATGTTATTTTATATGTGGAAATGCTTCAGGCAAAAGGGAAAACAAGGAAGGAAGGGGAGGATAGAGACAGGAGGAAAGGGAAGGAGGAAGAGGGAGGAGGAAGAAGGAGGAGGAGAAACAACCACTGACACAAAAGACTGGTAGAACGGAGCTCTGAGCAGGCCATCTGGGAGTCAGGGGTAAGGACTGAAGGGACCTAGGGAGTGTGTGTCCCTGTAAGGGAGCGTGCTCTGGAGAGGGGTCAGCCAGTGCTCAGCTCAGCAGGTCATGGGCCCAGCGCTCTGAGACCTCCAGATTTTTAAGGAGTCAGAAATCTACATTTTTATATGTATGATATGATTCTACATGTGGGCAATTCATTTCAATGTTTCATACGTAAACTATGTGTGGGGCCCAGTCACGGTGGCACAGGCAGTAGTATACTGATCTGCAGTGCTGGAAGTCACATGGCCAACAAGTTCAGATCCTGAGTGAACCTGAGACATGCTGGGTGCATGTGCCTGAGATCTGACTAGCTGGAGGGCTGGGGGAAGAGGAGAGTGGCATGATGAGATCCTGTCTCTGTCTCTCCCTCTCATGGAAGAAATAAAACAAATGAAACTTGAAAAATAAATTGTGGGGTAAACTTAGTCCTTGGTCTGTCAATTTACAACCTCTGGTTTACCTGCAGGATAGGAAGTTCATGTAGTTTCCGAGTATTTGACACCCTGGATATACCTAAGCCAACCCAGATCGTCAGCTCTGGGGGGCTGAGACCACGCCAGTTGGTGCCCTACTACCTCTGCTGCGCTGAAGGCTCTCAGCCCACACCAAGGGCTCTCTATGAATAGTCACATTACAACACCAGTCCATCACTTTTATTGAAGAGACAATACCAAAGATGCTGCTACTATGCCACAGCAGAAAAAAAGATAAATTATGTTTGAACTGGTTATTTATTTATTTATTGGTCACAGGGTATGTGTGCTCACTAGAGACAAATGGAGAGGGGGGAGTGAAAAATCACTCCCTAGTGGGGATGGTCATGCTGTAATCCTTTCTTCTCCATTCTCCTCTCAGGATTTTGGGTACGCATGCACGCCAACCCCACATGATTTTCAACCCACCAGGTCTGAGACTCAAATCATGGATGACCATGTGAAAATCTAGAGCCTTAACTTTCACACCACCTGCTGGCCCTATTTATTTTTTATTTTTAAAAATAATTATTTTATTTACTTATTATTATTTTTTCACATGAGTTTTGCCAGAGAAAGACAGAGAAAGAGGGGGAAAGTGAGAAAGCAAGCCACCAGGTCTGGGACTCGAACCATGGTCGGTCATGTGGGAGTTCCAGTGACTTAACCACCATGCCACCTGCTGGCCCCTATTTATTTATTCATTTATTTTTGAGAGGATTTTTTGCTATAGGGCGTGTGCGCTCGCCAGAAAGACAGAGACAGAGAGACAGAAAGAGAGAAATCACCCCCCAGGGGGGACGGTCACGCCGCAATCCCTTCTCCTCTATTCTCCTGTCGGGATCTTGGGTACGCACGCACATGCGCCCAGCGTGAGTTTAAGCCACTGGGTCCGGGACTTGAACCACGTTCAACAACATGGGAGTCCAGCGACATAGCCATTATGCCAACTGCTGGTCCCTATTTAATTATTTTTTAAGTCCAGAGAATTTCATGAATCTGGCAGTTGATAATGTTTCAACTTCTCTTGGTTGCTGGAAAGTAACATGCACAGTTGGGGCCACCTCTGGAACTGTACAGGGCTCTATGGAAGTGACCTTGAGCACCACCCTAGCGGCTCCACCTGATGTTCTAATCTTTATTTTTTCTTTCTTCTATTTCACCATCTGTTTCTCATTTGTTGTATTTCTACATATCACCTAAACCTCTGTTTTGAAAAGAACTGGGTAAAATGAACCAATAAACAATCTTTTAACTGATTGGATATAGACTTAACATGGGAATACTACTTTCCTTCACACATTATTATTATCTTTTGAGAAATATTATTGACCAGTCAGAACGTACTATTGTCCATAGTGGCGAAGCACGCTGTATTCTGAAGCATCAGAGGTTTTACTTACACATAAGCTTTCTCCATGGCAAGGTTAACTGAGAGACAATTTAACATAACTTACGGCTCTCAAGAGAACAGATGTTCTTACAGAAGTTAGAATTACTAAACATTAGTCTTTATGAATAGAGATCATTGTACCTGCTCAGAAACCACCTTTTGCAAATCACCTAACCTTGAACTGGATCATAATATTATTGGGGACACACAGAAATCCTGAGAATTGGTAAATGAAGCATGGCAATACAGTGCTTTTATGCCCCTCAGAAAGGAATTTATGTACAGCAAAAACTCAAATCAATCTGACAACTTCCTTTTAAGAGACCTCCTCCAGGCCAATCTCTGCCATTAGCTTTTGAATCTCAAATGAGGTCTGCGGTGGTAGTTTTTAAAGTGCTGAAAAAAATCAATGTTAACTATGATTTCGGGACCAGCTAGCACAACTGCCCAGAAGCAACTGGAGTCTCGAAGATCTATTATGTTTAGAGAAGAAAAAGCTGCAAGAAACCCTTTTCTTTTTTTCTTTGGGAAGGCATGTGATACAATTTACTGTGTATGCTTAGGTAGGAAAAGGAAGGTTGGAAGGAATATTAAAGTTTAACAATTTACTTTCCTAAACTCATGATTAGATTAGCTCATTTGGAAAAATAGATGCCTAATAACTACATTTGCACCTTAATCTACTGGATGAAGTTTTTGTTTTTCTTTTTTTTTTCTTTACGATTTGAATTTTCCTTTGTTTACTTTTTCTTCGTAATCAGGTCCAAAGCCTGGCTCTCAAGAGAGGGCCAGTCCTGATAAATTCTGTCTTACTCTGAGGGCTCGTCTCTAAAAGCTGAATGCTATCACCAATCCAGTGGGAGACTTTTTGTTTATTCTACAAAAACTACTAAATGAAAAAGTATGCAAAAGCACTTAGTGAAGTACTAATAATTGAAAGGAAAATTTAAACATAATTTCTACAATTAAAATTTTGCTAAACTAGGACTTTATCTTTGTATAGAGAGTGAGACATGTTTCCAATTTTATTTTTCTAGATGGCTACTCAGTTGTTACAACCCTATTTATTTCATTTTTTTTAGAGGTTTTTACCTTAGGGTGTGTGAGCTCTCCAGAGAAATGGGGGGGGCGGAATAGAGACAGTGAGAGGGAAAGTGAGAAATCAGCCCCCAGCAGGGTGGCCATGCTGTAATCCCTTCTCCTCCATTCTCCTCCGGGGGTCTTAGGCACGTGCGTGCATGCATGCACGCGCGCGTGCACACACATAAAGACACACTGGCCAGAACTCAAAACGCAGTTGGCCACATGGGAGCCCAGTGATGTAACCACTTCGCCATCTACTGGCCTCTCCAACCCCATCCTTCTCTAATTTCTGATTTGCCACCTTAGCCATATGCAACATTTTCATATATATATATATATATATATAAATTTCATATATATAAATATATATTGGCGTCTATTCCTCCTCCCTCCATCAGTTTATTTCTTGAGAAAGAGGTGGACAGACAGAGAAGGTTGTATCACGCCAAGTGAGATCTGCCTCTGCCAGCCTTCCAGCCAACCAGGATTACATGTGGGCACATGTATGCACACAGCATGCTCCAGTGGACCTGGGATCCAAACCCTTCGATGTCCACATGTCCTCTAGTGCTGTCAGACTCCCCCACTGAAATATAAGTTCTATGAGAGTAAAGCCTCTGGTTTGTCCATTACTGTATTTCTAGCACACAGATCACATCAGTTTGGCATATACCAGTTGGTCAGAAAAGCGCCCTACCATCTGCATCACTGGGGCTGGACCCATTGAGTGTACTTCTGAACTTTTAATTCTGTTCCACTGATCTGATACGTCAGTTCCTTAGTTTTAATTATTGAGACTTCATTGTGTATGTGTGCATTTGTGATCTGACAGGGACAGTATCTCCTCATTAATACTGCTTTTAGAATTTCTCTATTTTTTTGTTATGTATTTTTCCCATATAAATTTAGAAATAGTTTATCCAGTTTAAGAAACAATTCTGCAGGGCCAGCAGGTTGCACGGTGGTTAAGGTGCTGGACTCCCACGTGGCCAATCATGGTTTGAGTCCCGGACCTGGCAACTTGAAACACACTGGGTGCATGTGCGTGCATGCCCAAAATCCCAAGAGGAAAGTAGAGGAGAAGAGATTGCTGTGTGGCCATCTCCCTCATCTCTCTCTAGCTAGTACTGCATGACCTGTAGCAAGTTTAAAAATAATGATAAATTGGGGCTGGCAGGTGGCATGGTAGTTGAGGGCACTGGACTCCCACGTGGCGAACTGCGATAGAGTCTTGGACCTGGTGGCTTGCTTTCTCTCTCTCACTCTGTCCCTCTCTGGTCGAATTAAAAAATAAGTACATAAAGTTAAATAAAATAATTCTTAAATTTTTAAAAAAATATAAAATTAAATAATTCTTTTCTTTCTTTCTTTCTTTTTTTGGGAGAGGTTTTTGCTATAGGGCGCATGCGCTCGCCAGACAGAGAGACATAGAGACAGAAAGCGAGAAATCAGCCCCCAGGGGGGATGGTCACGCTGCAGTCCCTTCTCCTCCATTCTCCTCTCGGGATCTTGGGCACACATGCACACGCGCCTGGCGTGAGTTTTAAGCCACCGGGTTCGGGACACAAACCGCGGTTGATTACGTGGGAGTCCAGTGACACAGCCATTACGTGAACTGCTGGTTCCCTAAAATTAAATAATTCTTTAAAAAGAAATTCTACTGGGACTAGCAAGTGACATGGTGGTTAAGGCACTGTACTCCCACATAGCCAACCACAGTTCAAGCTCTGGACCTGGCAACTTGAAAATTCACACTGGGAATGTGTGCATAAGTGCCCAAAATTCCAGAAAGAGAATGGAGGAGAAGGGACTGTGGCATGGCCATCCCCCTGGGGGTGATTTCTCACTTTCCCTCTCCCTAGCAAGTGCACAAAAACCTAAAAACAAACAAACAAAAACAAACAAAAAAATTCTATTGGAGTTACATCGGAACTTTGTGGAATTCTTTTTTTTCTTAAAACATATTTTTCCCCTCAAAATAGACATCTTTACAACATTGAGTCTTTCTTCCTACTCAAGAATTTTTTTTTTTTGAGAGATTTTTTGCTATATGGTGTGTGTGTGTGCCAGAGAGACAGAAACTGAGAAATCACCCCCCAGGAGAATGGCCATGACACAATCCCTTCTCCTCCAGGTTCCTCTTGGGATTTTTGGCACGAATGCACACATACATGGCATGAGTTTTAAGCTGCCAGGTCTGGGATTTGAAACGTGGTTGACTCTGTGGGAGTCTAGCGACGTAATCATTATGCATCTGCTGGTTCCTATGGTCTGCTTTTTGTTCAAGATCTTCTGCATCCCTGATGTTTTCTTTATAAATATTTTGGTAAATGTTTTTTTCTTGTGATTATTTTAAGTTGGAGTCTTTCTTCCATCTTTTCTTCTAACTGGTTGTGGCTGGTACGATGCTTGTTCCCTCACAGGGAGTACTCTCCACACATCTGCCAGAGTGATCCTTTAGAATGATGTTTCACATCATGTGGCTCCTCAGCTCAAAATCCTCCATAGGCATGTTGTCTTTGAGTCTCCTGTGCTTTCTGTCTCCTCTACCTGGAGTGCTTGTCTCCCAGATTGCTGCTTCGCTTTCTCCTTTACCTGATTCAAGTCTCTATTCAAGTGTCATCCAAGAAAACCTTTCTGTGACTATTCTATTAAAAGTAGTTCTCAGTCTTTTCTACCTCTTTGTCATGATTTGTTTTTTCTTTTTTTTCTTTTTTTTGGAGAGGTTTTTGCTATAGGGCATGTGTGCTCACCAGACAGACAGAGAGACAGAAACTGAGAAATCATCCGCCAGGGGGGATGGCCATGCCGCAATCCCTTCTCCATTCTTCTCTCGGGATCTTGGGCACGCACGCACACGAGCCCGGCGTGAGTTTAAGCCACCGGGTCCAGGACTCGAACCACGGTCGACTACGTGGAAGTCCAGCGACATAGCCATTACACTAACTGCTGGTCCTGATTTGTTTTTTCTTTACATATCTTACCACTCCAGCTGACATTGTGTATACTTATTTGTCTACTGTCAGCCTTCCCCACGGGAACATGAATTCCATGAGGGCAAGGCCTCTCTGTCTGTTTTGTCCATTGCTGTATTTCCAGCACCCAGCACACATCAGCCTGGCACACAGCAGTGACTGAGGAAGGAATCGGGAAATAGGAGAGGGGACACTTCCAACCTGATGAGCTCCAGGGCTCGAACGGCAGAGCTGCAGATGATCAGCATCAAGACTGATTTCTTCTCACTGTGATTTTTCCGAAGTTTTACCCACTTAGGACAGACTGAAAAGAAGACCACAGAAATATTACTCTAAACAAACATTACACTCTAGCAAAACAGAGCCTCCAAAGTTGAGTATTTTCCAATGAATTCCTCATCAATATTTAAGCAAAATATAAAATAATGAGCACTATTCGTTATAATTACAATTACAATTCTACCTTCTGGCTACATTAGATACTAAAATGAAATTTCATCAACTTCTAACACAAAGAATATACCACATACCTTAATGTGACCCATTTTAGAACTAAGTAAAAATGTTTGGAATAATAAATTTTTGATATTTTAATTTATATATGATGCTTGAGGGGAAATATTGACTAAATGGAAAGAGGATTCTCATTCAAGAAGACTAAATTTTTAAAGTTTATCAATTTCTTCCATGAGTTGGAGAGGTAGAGACTACTCCCGACAAGGTCCCGATGCTGCAATAGACCCCCAAATACTGTTTGCCCTAGATCATAGGTACACGCATGACCAGCATACTGGGAAGGCTCCAGACATGAGAACCTTTCCACATGGGTCAGCCTTGCAGAACACTGCATGCTACTGCTGTGCCACCCTCTGACCTTCCAATATTATTATATTTGAAAGGAACACTTAGCATTTAATATAAACTGGAATAAACATTTATGTAACAGCTAACATTTATTAAAAACTGACACTGTAGTAAGCACTTCATGTACATTTTCTTTTTTAATTCTCATAATCCAGTGAGGTTGATTCTGTTATTACCAACGTTTGATGAATTTGATGCTAAGAGAGGTGCTTCAAGTTCGGTGTTTTAAGAATTGCTTATGGTTTTCTTTTCTTATCGTTCTTTTTTTTTTTTTTTTTTTTGAGAGGTTTTTGCTATAGGGCATGTGCACTCGCCAGAAAGAGAGAGACAGAGAGACAGAAAGCAAGAAATCACTCCCCAGGGGGAATGGCTACATGGCAATCCCTTCTCTACTTCTCCATTCTCCTCTTGGGATCCTGGGCACAGACGCACACGCTCCCAGTGTGAGTTCAAGCCATTGGGTCCGGGACGCGAACCATGGTTGACTACATGGGAGTCCAGTGAAATAGCCATTACGTTAACTGCTGGTTCCAAGAATTGCTTATGGTTTGAAAGAAGAATGTTAAATCTCTGTTTTTAAACTTTGTGATTGCTGGCCACAAATAAATGACCACTTGATATGAATCATCTAGTTGTCCCTGGCTATGTACAATACACATTGAGAAAAATCAAATTAGATTGACTTCATGACTTCAACTCTTAGAGTTTAGAGTTCTGAATACCCGAACAGTATTTCAGAATCTCCACAGCTGGGAAAGAGGCCACAAGGCCCAACTTCCTTACCTTTAGGATAGAATCAAGTCCAGGGGAGTAATTGGTGACTTGTCCCAAGTCAGATGGATAATTAGTGGGAAACTTGGGACTTAAAACACTATTCTTTGAATCCCTGGACAATATGTACTTCTAATGTGTTATTATAACAAAAACGAGGGGCCATTAGGTAGCGTGGTGATTCAGGCACTAAACTCTTACATGGCCAACTACAGTTTGAGTCCCAGACCTGGAAGCTGAAACTCATGCCAGGTAAATGTGCATGCATGCTCAACATCCAGTAGGAGAATGGAGAAGGGATTGCAGTGTGGCCACCCCCTGAGTAGGGAGTGATTATTTAATTTTAGGGAACCAGCAGTTAGCGTAATGGCTATGTCGCTGGACTCCCACGTAGTCGACCGCGGTTCGTGTCCCGGACCCGGTGGCTTAAAACTCACTCTGGACACGTGTGCGTGTGTGCCCAAGATCCTGAGAGGAGAATGGAGGAGAAGGGATTGCGGCGTGACCATTCCCCCTGGGGGGTGATTTCTCGCTTTCTGTCTCTATGTCTCTGTCTGTCTGGCGAGCGCATGCACCCTATAGCAAAAACCTCTCCAAAAAGAAAGAAAGAAAGAAAATAATTATTTAATTTTATTTATTATTTAAAAAAATTTTTTTCCCTCTCTTTGTCTCTTTCTAGTGAGCGCACATCCCTATGGCAAAAACCTAAAAACAACTCCCAAAACAAAAAGTTAATGTCAGGCTAGCAGATGGTGTGGAGATTAAAGTGGCTGAATCTCATAAGGTCAACTGCGTGGTTCAAGTCCCGGATCTGGCAGTTTGAGAAACACGCCAGTCACGTGTGTGTGTGTGTGTGTATGTGCGTGTTCACAAAATCCTGAGAAGAGAACAGAGAAGACAGGATGGGGGCATGGCCATCCACATGGGGGATGCTTTCTCACCTTCTCTCGCTCTCTTTCTGTCTTTGTCTCCAGTGATCATATATACCCTTATAGCAAAGCAAAACAAAACAAAACAAAACAAAAACATCAAGGTAGACCTAAAAAAAGTCTCTGAAATCTATTTAAGGTGAAACTTTTGATTTTAAATGGTGTTTAAATTAAGAGTTTTTAAAGAGACAAGTATTTTAAAATATTAAAAACAAAACAAAACAAAACAAAACTGTTTTTTTCCCAGACGGTCTGTGCATTCACCAGAGAGACAGACACATAGTACCTCCCATGGGGGAGGGTCATGCTGCAATCCCTTTTCCTCCATTTCTCCCTCATTCCAGGATTTTGGGCACATGCACACACATGTGCACACCTGGTATATTTCTTAAGCCACTGAGTCTGGGATGCTAACTGTGCAGTCAGCCATGTGGGCGCACATCTGGCCCTAGAGGATCTAGTCACTTTAACTACCATGCCACCAGTTGGTCTGAGACTATGTTTTTAATGGAATAATAACTTGGTGAGTAATTTTTAGAAATATGAGTATACTTACTTTCTTTTAGGTATGATGAAAGACTGTGAGTCAAATCATTGGCCTTGAGGAAACAGGAATCTAGAATATGGGAAACATGCTTTACAACGAACTCAGCAAACACACAAAATAGATTTAATGTGAATGATGTATTCTGGAAGAAGGCTGTAAAACATTAAAGTATTGTCTAGTATTTAAAACAACAGCAGTAGCAATAAGAAGTTACTTTTACCCTTCGTGGTACTGCTCGTAATCTCTTAGTCAAAACAGAATTTTGTAGTATCTCTCAGTGGACTAATGAAGAACCTTTATTTTTTGAATCCATGGAATAGGCAATACATAAATGCAAGATGAAGTGGCTAAAAAATCTATGTAGAGATGCTCAAACCCATAAGTCATCTAGAAGTACAAATTAATTCAATGATGAGACAACACGTTATGCACTATTTAGAATAACAAATGTTACCCTTTTGAACGGAACTGCCAACTTCCAGTAATTAACCAAAATGATGAACACACACAAGAAAGAGGAGAGACACCTGATACACGTTCTCTAGGCCTTTTAGAAAACATGGAGTGGTTCCTTTGGCAACACATATGCGAATCTACAAGAAAGGTGATATTGTAGAAATCAAGGGATGGGTCCTGTTCAGAAAGGAATGCCCCACAAATGTTACCATGGCAAAACTGGAAGAGTCTACAAAATTACCCAGCATGCTGTTGGCACTATTGTAAACAAACAAGCTAAGGGTAGGATTCTTGCCAAGAGAATTAATGTGCGTATTGAGCATATTAAGCATTCTAAGAGCAGAGATAGCGTTCTAAAACGTGTGAAGGAAAATGACCATAAAAAGAAGGAAGACAAAGAGAAAGGTACCTGGGTTCAACTAAAGCGCCAGCCTGCTCCACCCAGAGAAGCACACTTTGTGAGAACCAATGGAAAGGAGCCTGAGCTACTGGAACCTATTCCCTATGAATTCATGGCATGATGGGTGTTAAACTAATCTATGGTCTATATATTAAAAAAAAAGAATAACAAATGCTAGAAAACTGTATAATACTAAGTGTTGCTGAGAATGTGGAAAGTGGTAACATTAAGACATATATACCCCGTGACATAATGGGTAGATAATGGAAAGAAATTCTTGTTAGCCTATAAAGGGATATAAAAAGAGTATTCTTGCTGGCATTACTGGTGATACAGGGGTGCTGGAAACAACCTAGGCATCCATATCTGGGAAAATGGATGAGAAATATGTGGTAGATGAAAATACTGGAATACTGTTTAGTATTTAGGGGCAGCAAACAATACGTTCATAAAGCCAGGCAGGCATATCTGAGAAAAGAATCAAGAAATAGAGTGAGAGGATCAGCACTTCATTTAGATAAATTTTAAGGTGTTCATACATACGTAGCATGGCAGTTTATAAGACTATACTTAGTCTTTCAAAGACATCAATAGATATTGATATCTATGCATATTATATATGTAAATGTGCAACAGAATAATGTATATCAACCTATTAACTGAATGCCTATGAAGAGAAAAAATAAAGTGTGAATCAGGAAAGAATGAGAACAACGTATCAAAATACAAAAACGGTAACACAATAAAGAAAATCTAACGCTTTAAAATAAAATGGAGGCCTTGCCTAACCAATGACGACCATCATTTAGCAATTATGTAATGTTAACTTTGCACTTTGGACAAATATAAAAGCAACATCATGGTTATCATCCTCATTCTTTCTGTAAGAAGATTGCCTGTCAACGCAGCAGTGTTATGGAGTAAACGATTACTAAATTAAACAAAGTTCAGATACTGGCCTAGCCCATACAATTCATGTGAGTAACTTCAAAGCTGTTGCCTCTAGTGAGAGGCGGATATGGCTTATTACCTGTTGGTGATGACATGTATAGTATTCTCAACTGGATTGGTCTGAGAAGTATTTCATGATGGGTAAAGTCTTTTTACAAGCAAAATGAGAAATAATGATGGACTGTTTTAAAAAATAATTAGAAACATAGAAAAGATATTGAATGATGAAGTGGGGAGATCAATGTCTCTGTATTGACTGACATGCATGGCATTCCCTTTTGAAAAAGCAATGTAATACACTGTAAAATTATATGTAACCCAATGTAATATAAAGAAGATTATGAAAAAAGATTATTAAAAAATAAATTAAAAAAGAAAAAAAAAAGCTGTTGCCTCTACACTGTTGTGAAGCCATTGACAGTCTTTTAAGCTGTGACTGTCTAAGCTTCGATATGATCAGACTTATCCTGAGAGCTTTACAAAAGACAGATTCCTGGGAGGGATTCGCTTTTTGCATAGCAAGTCAGGACACTGTGGGAGGTGGGCCTGGGAATATGCTTTTTAAGATATTTCTGGGTGTTTTGGTTGCAGCTAGCCGACAGGCATCTAGGAATCACTGATATAAACCACACTGCAGCTCTTAGGAGACAGCAGAGAGGTTAATTAGCTCCAGGTGACTCCAGCTTCGAAACCCTAATTAAGTGCCCATGTGTGTGACATTCACAACGTACAGTGCACAGTATTAATTGAAAAGACATGTTCCTGCCCTACAGACACAAACAACCTCAAATCAAAACCAAGTGGGACACTTGACTAAACAGAAACAATATTTAGTTATTTATACCCACCTTACTTTTATGCCCCTTCTTGAGCCTGTTCCAAAAAAACCATGGTGTTTCCCTCCCCTCATCCAACATAGACTTCCTCTGTCCTTGGTCTCATCATTGTAGTGACCAGAGCCTCTTCTCCTAAATATTCCTATCATGTCTTTAGTTCACTGTGTCTTGGAATGACCTAATTCCTTAACTGAAAATGAAAACCTGTTCTTTTTGGCTACCACACTATGCCTAATATGCTTTCCTTCCTCCCTCAACCAACCCGTGACCACATTCTTGCCTAACTGTATAACTGAACTCTAATAAAACAGTAATATGACACAAACTTACTATGAAAGTCAAATGACTCCTTCAAGGTTTCCTTCTGACCTTTGACCCCATATAATTAGGGACAGAATCAAGATTTATGATGTTCCATGAGGTTACAAAATAGCAGAATCATTTCCTCAAAAATCCTTCCTAAGTTGGGACCAGCAGTTAGCGTAATGGCTATGTTGCTGGACTCCCACGTAGTCGACCGTGGTTCAAGTCCCGGACCCGGTGGCTTAAACTCATGCCGGGTGCATGTGTGTGCGTGCCCAAGATCCCAAGAGGAGAATGGAGGAGAAGGGACTGCGGCATGGCCATCCCCTCTGAGGGGTGATTTCTCGCTTTCTGTCTCTCTGTCGGTCTCTGTCTGTCTGGCGAGCGCATGCACCCTATAGCAAAAACCTCTAGAAAAAAAGAAAAAAAGAAATCCTTCCTAAGTTCAAGGGTTGCTCTAAAGCAAGAACTAGCAGGGAAAACTGACCAGTGGGTCACAGTCAGAACCAAACTTCAGTTACAGCTTGAAACGTGGTTTTGGAGTAATTCTCGGTTCACGTGAGAGAGCAGTCAGGACTGAGTTCTCACACCACTGACCCGGTGTGCTGAGAAGAGAGATCTTAACGGCTGAAGGGGCTGTCTGGGCTCTGCAAGCCTAAAAACGCCAGATCTTGTGCACGTGCACGCCTTCAGTTCCTCACAATGCAATATTCTTGGTAAAGAAACAGACAGGGGCACTCAAGTCTCCAAACTCAATGTGCATCTTTAAAGAAAGCATATCACAAAAGAATTATAAAAATTCAGGGAACAGACTGTTTTTCAGCTTCTCAAGCTTCTAGAAAGCATAAAGTTTCAATGGGGAAAAAAAAAATAAAGCTACTCTTGACTTTTTCCAAAAGCAGTATTAGGTATCTGTTAGTCATACATAGCTCATCTGAAGCCGTGGTACCCAAACTTTTTAAGGTTTGAGTTTATGACATCTATTTTCTTCCACCCCTGTCCAAAATGGTTACAGGATGCATCATAATTTTGAAATTAATTGTTTTAATTGTGTAGTACCTTTTAACTTAATTATAAATACTCTAAGGTGCAAGTCTCAAACTCTAGTAGGCTTAAAAATCATCTGGGGGGAGGTGTTGGCTTTGCTAAAATTGTACTTTTCTTCTGTTCATTAGATAGTTTGCTTGAAAAAGCTGGGCTGTGACCCAAAACACTAATCTAAAAACAAAGCCGCAGCTAGAAGTCCATGATAAGGACAACAACAAATTACGATGCTTATTAAGACTGAACTTCTTGTTTATAATGAATAAATTAATGTTTCATATTTGTACTCTGAGTCTGTACTTTTTTTTCAGAGTTGGTTTTTTTTTTTTTTGTATGAAAATCCTATGTTGTGGCCACAGCTGGAGCCTGGGCCCTCTGCATGGAGACTGGTGTGGGTCTTAACCAGATGGTCAGTGAATTCCTGATAGGAAGACTTGGTGAACACTGTCTTTTTCCAGAGATCAGGGGTCAGACAGCTGTAGTTCTGGGAGATGGCATCAAAGGTGACCTTAGGGAGTTGCCCAACGTGGCAGTGCAGCCCTGGGCTGAGGTGCAGCAGCATCGATGCCAGCCATCTATAGCAGCTTCTTGGGCCACAAGGGCCAA